ACCTGCAGAGATAATAACATGCACAAAAACAAGACAGAGCAAAACGAAGCAACAATATACAATAACAACAACAACAACAAACCAATGACAAAAAAAACCCAAAACACAACACTACAAGAAAGAAAAGCTTGTAGTTAGTTCAAGGATTGTTTGTTGGCCTTTAGGAGTGTTTTCCAGTCCACCATGCCCTGACCCCAAAGTCCACCTTCAACATTCCCTGGGGACCTTGCTGCTCCGTTCCCTTGCTGTTCTGTTGCACCCCCTTGGTGTTTTGCCTCTGTGTGGCGGGATCAGGTCAGGTGCTTCTCCCACACTGTGTCTCTGGTGTTGTCACCTGTAGGGCTATGGGTCAGTGAGGGCCGTCATGTCTCATAGAGGGGCTGGTCATGTGGTCCTCTCTGTGGACTGGCTGCGCTAATTAGGAAGATCATCCTTATGGCCTGGTGGGCCAGGATGTGCTCCACTCTCTACTCCTCCCCCGTCATCTGCACCCGTGTGCTCTGATCAGCTATGTCCCTCTCCCGGATCTGCAGATTCAATGCTGTCCTTTGAAATAAATTCTTCTGGGTGGAGGGGCAGGTTTCCACTTAGTAGTTGGAATTGGGACCGGCCCCCCAGATCTCTCCACTGGTTCCCTACTCCACACCGGCATGTTTCATTCACATTTTGGAGCACCGGGTTGGAAACAATTTAATCCTGTTGGATGTTTTAAAATTTGAAAAGTGAAGTTAAGACCCTTCTGATTTTCTCCCTAATGGCATACGGATTTGAGGTTTTTTAGTTTGATTGGTTGGACCAAGCACTGATGCCTGACCCAATAGAGTGCTGGATGCCATTTTCTCTATTCCTTGAGTTGCTGTGTTTTTTCAGCCTTCTGTAGTTCCCTCACATGCGTGTGTTGGTTTATTTGTACTTAGCTCAAAGTTCACAGAGAATTCTCTGTAGATCTGTGTTTCCCTCTGTCCTGCTGTCTTCCCCAAACAGTAGCCCGTATTGTCCCCAACTTCTTCACTATGTGTCTGTAACTCGTCTGTGTGATTCTGCCTACATAATCTCTTCCTTGTATGTATTCTGGAAAGTCTCAGGGTAGTAATTTGGGTCATCTTACTTTGTTTTCCATGCTTACGGGATCACTTAGCTTTCTTGCCTGATATATATGGTGCCTTGCAAACCATTGTTTCTTATATTGTTTGTCAAGTGTCTCCTGGTTGTTTCAAGCAAGAGAGTAATTTAGTCCTTGTTTCTCCCATCTTGACTGGAAGCCGTTAGTGAAGCTCTATTTCTGTGCCTGTCCTCAATTTGTGTATCTCAAACTAAACGTAACATGAAACAGTTGTCCCCATTTAGTTTTCATGTCCTCATTTTCGTCTAGCATATTAATTGCTTTCACCTTAATAATGCTATCCTGATACAAAATTATTTAATTAGGTACTGTAGGGTAAACTTAATTTTCCGTAACATCTGATTTTTAATTCTGGTTCAAAGTCCATTCCATTTGAGGATAAAAAGCTGGAGGTGTGTTTTTTGGATTTATTTAAAGCCTAAGAACTTTAGAAATGAAGCCAACATTTCACCAGAAAGCTTTGTGTGTCTGATCTTTTAGTTGTAGAGCTGTCTGGTCCAAATGCTTTTTCAATTTATCAGTCTGATTGGCTTTTTTATTCCATGGAAATATTTAGCTTGCATTTGCCTTATTTATAATTGTGTTTACATCTGACCTGTTAGAATATCAGTTCAATTCACATTTAGAAAATGTGCTTTCTTATAATAATTGAAGATGATTCAAATTTAGCAGCTAGCATAATTTAAGAGGCTAATTTTTCTATATATAATCTTCATTCTGTTTGTATGGAATATTTTTTCAATTTCAGGAAATGAGTCAGAAATGCCATTGTTCTTACTTTTTAAGATTTTTAACATGAACACGGTTGGGCTTTTGGGTTTGTTCTTTATCTTTGTTGAATAACAAATCCCTGGGTGACACAAATTAGGTCAGCAGTTAGAACCCACCATTTGCTCCTGTAAAGATTTATAGTTTTGGAAACCGTATATTGCTGGGAGTCAGCATAGACTAGCTGTCAGTTGGTTTGGGTTTGGGTACTAATCCTAAATGTTGATAGTATGAATCCACCCAGTGACACAATGGAAGAAAGACCTGACAGTCTGCTTCCATAAAGATGACAGCCGAGAATACCCTTTGAAGCGGCTCTCTCTAAATGACTGGGAATGGACTCCATGGCCGTGGGCTGGTCTTCCACGGTGCAAGCCTGACTACCCCACTCCCCAGAGAAAGTGGAAGTAGGGCTTTTCCCCCATAGTAGGCTTATAAGACAAAATGACTGATAGAGCGTGATCCAAATTTACTGTCATTGAGTCTATTTGAACTCTTAGTGACCCTATATAGTCGTTTCCAGAGTTGTGCATCGTTCAGGGAAAAGACAGCTGCATCTTTATCCCACGGAGCCCCTTGTTATTTGAACTGATGACCTTGCTGTTAGCAGCCTAACACTCACCTGACAGCACTACCAGGGCTGATTATAGTTTAGCTCTATTTCCCTAGAATTACCTTTCAGGGTACAGTTTCACCCCTGTCTTTTGTCTTTGAAGTCTGTTTTAATAAAGTAGTGAGTGATTTTCTTATGAAAGAAACCACTAAAATAACAAAACAAAGCATTATAGTTAATATGCCAACAAAGGAGATAATCCTGAGACACTACAGGATTTAAAATGATTTCTGAACTATCAAGATTAAATTTTAACGTGTGATTTTTGATGTGAAGTAGAGCCTTATAATGTCATGCATTGGATCACTGGAATAACCCAAAAATGTAAGTTCTAGTGGGACTAATATTGTCACTAAGCACTGTATGATTCTGAGCAAATCATGTAATTTTGAGCTTTAATATTTTCATCAGTCATAACTAATAAATGGACACTTATTATTTAAAAAAAATCATTTTATTAGGGGCTCATACAACTCTTATCCCAATCCATACTAAATAGACATTTAATGGGTGTTTTTATTGTTCCAGGTTATATATTGCTGATCATTTTACTTATTTATTCACACGAATCTTAGCAAATAATAAAATTTTCTCATTTTGCTAAAAGCCTTCATTTTTAAGTTAGGAACCAGAGTGTATGCTAAGATGGTATATTTCAAATTGCTTTAGCTCTGGCTCTCACATTTTTGTCAATGTATTTTGGTTATTGAAATTTACCTCTATTTGTTAGGATCTCTGGTGGCAAAATGGGCCTATTAACTGAAAGGTTGGAATCTTCAGAAGGAAGATAGGGCAGTCTGTAAAGATTTACAGCCTATGAAACCCAATGGGGCAGTTCTTTCTTTAGAGTTACTAGGAGTCAGAATCAGCTTTACAGCCGTGGCTTTGGTCTGTGCCAGACTCTGGTGTCAGTGACCATTGCTAATGTAGAGTGATAAGCTTCCTCTGAGATCCCAAAGCATTTCTCATCTGTCACTCATTTAATAGTTATATGGTTGAGATTTATTTAGAAGTTTTATATTTGGAATAGCGAAAATTGTTTGAAGTTACATAAGTTTGTTTTTGCAGTACCCTTGGATCATAAGCTCCTTGAGGAAGCTTCTCTTTCCATTGGCATTTAACACAGCATTGTGCTACCTCAATGCTGCCTGTAACTTAATAAATGTGTGAATGAATTGCTGAACTTAAAACATTTTAGCTAGTTTACTCTAAGATATTTTAACTTTTAAAAAATTCTTTCACTTTATTTATAGTCACTAACATTTACTATTTCAGGTAAATGCTTTTCAGACCTTAAGAAAATATCCCCACCTCACCCCCCCCAATCAAAAAACTCAAAAGAACATTTGAGTAATATTTAGGAGAGCTGCATGATTTGTATTGTAATGATGACAACTGCTACTTCTGCTGACTCTCAGATGTCATTTAACCTCTCTAGGCATTAGTTTTCTCATTTGAATTATGTGATTTTTAAAGACATGATATTTCAGAGTTTATAAAACTTGCATGTAAACTAGGTTTTAGGATAAGAAAGTAGCATTTTATTTTCATGCTACAAAATATTAGTGATTTTATAATCAAGTTTTTATTTAAAGGAATTTGTAACCTTAGCTTTGCTTTTATGGTTATTTTCCCCCCTTTCATGTATCAGTACTCCCTCACGTGTTACTAAAGGAGCAGTCAACCACACGAAAATGAGTCTACATGGTGCTAGTGGAGGACATGAGAGATCAAGAGATAGACGAAGGTCAAGTGACAGATCACGAGATTCATCGCATGAAAGGACAGAGTCTCAGCTCACTCCTTGTATTAGAAATGTCACTTCTCCAACACGACAACACCATGCTGGTATGTACACTTGACTAACTTTCCAAACAGTTCTTAAAAGCATGCATTTACCTTTAAAAAATAGTATTGACAATGAATTGTATCTAAAACTTCAGACTACAGTTAGTTTCTTTTCACCTTTTATTCCCCCTCTTTTAGGTTCTTGCTGGGAAAAAACAGCTTAAAACATTTTTTTTGAAATACAATTTAAAGATAACATTTTTAAGAGTCTGAGAGAGTCTTCAAAAAGAAGTAATTTGAAATTGATTCTCTTATGAGATACAAAGTGATGGTTTATTTTAAAACAATTTTTAGTATTGTAAATTATTGATAGTAATCTCTGGCTTAATCATACCAACAAAGGAAATGAAAGCTAGAATAGTCAGCAGCACAGAGGTATTTTTGATGATACTTCAAACTTAGTAATAAAATAGAAAATGAAAGGGGAAGTGTATTTTACTTTGTTAGCAAGGAGTTAAGGTCTTCTTCCTCCTTCCTACTCATTACTATAAATGAAATTTATTGCCCCAGATGAGCATAGTGTATGACTAACACACCAGTTACAGCTTGAAGCAGAGATGCCTACGTAGTATCAGCTTGCTGGATATTTATTTTCTCTTGAGGAAAGGAGCAAATTAAATGCCTTGACGAGTTAAACTCAAACTCACTGCCATTGAGTACTTTGTGAGGCCATTTCTGATAGTCTGTTGTAAATAAAAACAATGTATATTAGAAGCTAATTATGCAGGGAAGCTGTCAGTGTCTAAGTACATCCTTGAAATTAGAATAGTACTAGCTAAGAATCAACACAAGTATAAATAACTGTCGTTGTTCGGTGCAGTTGATTGGTGTCGACTCCGAGCAAACCTGTGAAACCAGAAGGAAACAGCTGCTGGTCCTGTGCCATTCTCATAGTCAGAGTCATGTTCGAGCTCATTGTTGCAGCAACCGTGACTGTCTGTCTCAAAGAGGGTCTTCCTCTTTTTCACTGATCCTCTGTGTTCTAAGCATGGTGTCCTTCTCCAGAGACTAGTTCTGATCACATGTCCAAAATCAAGTGAGATGAAATCTTACTCTTTGCTTCTAAGGAACTTTCTGGCTGTACTTCTTCCAAGACAGATTTGTTCTTTCGTCTGGCAGTTCATAATACGTTCACTACTTCTCACCAGCACCATAATTCAAATGCATTGATTCTTCTGGCTTCTTTGTCCGGCTTTCATATGCATATGAAACAACTGAAAACATCGTGGCTTGGATCAGGTGCACCTTAATCTTCAGAGTGGCATCTTTGCTTTTTAATACTTTAAAGACATTGTGACATTTCTCCTATGCATCATTTAATTTCTTAATTCCTGTTTACTGGGCATTAATTAAAGATCTGAGTAAAGGGAAAGCTTGGGACAACTTCAGTATTTCTTAGTTTATCATGATCTTGCAAGACAAGACTGCCTCTCAAGTTGCCTCACTTTGAGGATTAAGGTGCACCTGATCCAAGCCATGGTATTTTCAGTTGTTTCAGATGCACATGAAAGATGGACAGTGAATACAGAAACAGAAGACCAATGCATTTGATTAGCTAAAAGAAAGAGAGAATAGTCTCCCAGGCCCAGGATTTGAGCAGAATTAACCCACTGCTGAGTTATCTTTTTCCCATGTCACATTTTTTTTGTTTAGCGGCCCAGTCCTTAACCCATTGCACCCCAGGCCTCCTTAATGAAAGAATAATTAACAGTGGTAAAGGAAAACTCACTAACAGTCTGTGATATGTGGATATCACAACGTTGCTGAAAGCAAAGAGGACTTAAAGCACTTATTGGTGAAGATCAAAGACTATATAGTCTGCATTATGAATTACACTTGAGTTAGTTAATTGTGCCAGCCTGGCCGATAATCACATGTGGGTCTGGTTGAAAGGCGGAGGGATAAATGGGTGGTGAAGCCTCGCTTTCTATTCGGGTCTCTTGTTTTGTGATGGTTGCATCGGGTGCAGCTGCCTTAGCAGTTCCCTGCTTCGGCTTGCAAGATGGATTTCCTACAAGACATCCCCAAGGAGAAGCCACATGGATCTATCCCGATGCAGCTCTGGGTGCTGGAGCAGCCATGTGGAGACCCCTGCCAGTGCTGAGATGCTTACACGTTCACTGACTCAGCTTTCCTCCTGCAGTCGGCATTATTGCCTCTGCTTTGTGAGGTGAAGGACTTTGTGGACTGGTGTTGGGTATGGGTTAATGTTGGACTTGTGGACTTGGGCAGCATTGGGTTGGGATGTTTTCGTGATGCACATTTTCTTTGCATAAAACTCTCTTATCACGTGAGTTGCTGTGGATTTGTTTCTCCAAAGTACCTAGACTAATACAACACTCAACATAAAGAAAGCAAAAATTCTCACAACTGGGCCACTAAGAAGCAACATGATCGATGGATAGAATAAATAAAAGGTGGAAATTGTTCAAGATGCCATTTTACTTGGATTCACAATCGACGCCCAAAGAAACAGTAGTGAAGAAACCAAACACCATGCTGGGTTGGATAAATCTGCCATGAAAGACCTCTTGCTCCAGATAAGATGTGACTTTGCAGACTAAGGCGCCACTTACTTGAGCCATGGTATTTTCATTTGCCACGTATGCCTCTAAAAGCTGGGCAATTAATAAGGTAGCCTGAAGAATGGACGGATTTGAATTATGATATTGGTAAATACTATTGAATATGCCTTGGACTACCAGAAGAAATAATAAATCTGTCTTGGAAGAGGTATAGACAGAATGCTCTTTAGAAACAAGAATGAGAAGACATTGTCTCAGATACTTTGGACATGACATATTACCAAGAGGAACCAGACCCTGGACGGAGAAGGACATCATGCATGGTAAAGGTCATGAAAAAGTGGAAGAGTCTTGGCAAGATGGATTGATATAGTTGCTGTAACAATGGGCTCAAACATAAAAACAATTGTGACTGGGTGGTGTTTTCATTTAACAGAACAGATGAGGTCACTATGAATTGGAACTGACTCGACAGCATCTAATAATATCATAAATATTGTATTATCTATTTGTTAGGATTTTTGTTTTCTTTATATCAAGGAGGTGTGATCCATATTCAGTGTTGTAGTCTTTCATCTCTAACAGTACTTGCTTCAGGTTCTCTTCACTTTCAACAAGTAAGGTTTGTCAGCTGCGTATTGCAGGTTTTACGTGGCTTCCTCTAATCCTGGTGTAGTCTTCATATACTGGTATCAGTGAAGCTTAGAAAAGTCAAAATGCTGTATCTGAACAGGATGACTCTATACCTAAATTGGAACTCTATTTAAAATTAAGATTTTAATTTCTACTCTTTTTAAGAAATCCAGTCAGCCTTTTTCTGTATCAAAGTGTTACTATTGGAATTCTAAAAAGACAAGTATGAGACTTTCTAATTTAGGTGAAGAATTGTTTTGTGTTTGTTAAATTTGTCTCAGCAATCTTCTCTGCCCCTTAAGCTAGGTAAATAGTGCTTGACATTCCAGAGCTTTCAGATTACAGATGATTAATCTTCTCTTATCAACCAAGTCAATGAATTTACCATTTCAAGGATTTCTATTGGAGTTGACCTGATCTATACTCCTTTAAAGCCCTAATGGCACAATGGTTTTGCATTGGGCTGCTAACCACAAGGTTATCAGTTTGAAACCCCTAGGGCAGTGGTTCTCAACCTTCCTTATGCTGTGACCCTTTAATACAGTTCGTCATGTTGTGATGACCCCCCAACCATAAAATAACTTCATTGCTATTTCATAACTGTAATTTTGCTACTGTTATGCATTGGGCAACCCCTGTGAAAGGTCCGTTCAACCTCCAAAGGGGTTGTGACCCACAGGTTGAGAACTGTTGCCCTAGGGGGTCCCCGGGGGTGGGGTGGGGGGCGGGGGGAGATGAGGTTTTCTATTCCCATAAAGAGTTCCAGGATCGGGAAACCCACAGGAACAGTTCTACCCTGCCCTATATGGTGTGAGTTAGAACCAACTTGCTGACAGAGTGAGTCATACACTCAGTCACAAGACCCCACCAAAAATGCTTCCATCGTATGCTTTATAAATCCCACCTTAGTCAAGCTGTGTCAGGAGATAAAAGAGTAATGTTTTGCTCGATCCTGGTGATAATAGTGGCTACATGTTGGGGGCTGCTAAATACAAGGTCAGTAGTTCTAACTACTAGCTTCTCTCCGGGAGGAAATATTAGGCTTTGTACTCCTGCAAGAGTTACAGTCTTAGAAACCCACAGGGCGGTTTGTTACTCTGTCCTATGGGTCACTATGAGTCAGAATAGACTTGATGGCAGTGAGTTTAGTTTTGATTTTTGGATGTTAAATAGGTTTGCGATTTGACAATTCCTTGTAAATTTTCTTCCATACTTTTTAATATGCAACCAGCTTCCTTTGTTGGCTTTGCTACTTAAATAAAAACAACTGCTCCTACAATAAAGAACACTTATGAGTATGTATCGTTTCTTAAGGAAGCATGTTCTCCATTTTATGAAGTGTACTTATTCCTCTAGTAAAACCATTTATGTCTAAACAAGGAGTGTTAGTCTAGTGTTTCCACTAAGACATAGTTCATTCAGGTTCTTGGACCATTTGCTCACCACAGTAATTGAATTAGTATGTTGAAAGAAAGGACTCTGATACACACCTTTCCTCTTTTTAAACCCGCCAGCATCCTCTTGTTCTTTTTTAATGATTGCTTTTGGTCCTGTGTACTGCATTCCCATGAGCACACCTAAGGTGCTCTGGAATTCCCACTCTTTACATTATCCATGATTTATTATGATCCACACAGCCAAATGCCTTTATCTAGTAACTAAAACATAGTCAGACATCTAATTATGCAGACAAGTGGTCACTGTATAAGTAGGACCTTGATATCTGACTAATACTTACAAACCAAAGCCCAACAAAATGATACATAGTAATTGTTAGTAACCTGCAAAGTTCAGTGTCTTTGTGGAGAATAAGAACATATAGTAAAATAATTGTATTACTTTAGCAGATTTTGCTTTTGGGAGGCTGTCAGCATTGTGTGGAAACAGTAATAAAAGAAAGGGAGATGTCAGTTATGTTTAGGGATACAGCGAACGTAATTGTATAACCAGTAATGCTGCACCAAGTGTTCTCAGTAGCCTGGGTCATGGGAGGAATTTGGCAAAATCTGATGAGATGGAGGTGCATTTTTAGGTCACCTTCGAAAGTTAGTAATCTTGCCTCTTAAGGAAACTTCCTATCATAAAATGTTAGTTCTTATTTTTCTATCTTTATCTATGGAAAGCCTTTGAATTTTAATAATGTTTTCTACCTATTAAAATTATAGACAATAATTTTTGTAATTCTGTAAAGCTTATAGCAGTACTTTCACTAACGAAAGTGAGAATGACAAGAAAGCTGCACATTTATCAGCTGCATCTGGTGAGCATTAAAAACCATTTGAAAAAAATAAATACCTCGTACTGTTCAAAGTTAACTTTTCCCCCTTTCCCTTTTAATCTTCCTTTTGTTATTAAATTGCTGGTTTTAGAATCCCTCTATTAACACAGCGAGATACCAAAGTTTATACTGTTGTTCTCAAAAGAGTTTTAATACTTTTAGGGTTTAAAATCACCTAAGTTGATAGTCTTAATCTTTTATTAATATTCAATTCTTATTTATTTGAATTATGAGAGTATTAATTCGCTTTACATATCTTTTCCTCAGCAGAGCAATAATCCAAAGTTTACTTTAATAGGAATCTTTGGGCCAACATTACTCAATAAAAATAACTTTTTAAAAGTTCACAAAGATTTATTTAGAAAATATTTTAGTGTTTTGAGTTTTCTTCCTGTAAAATGAGTGAATATTTATAGTATCCTATAAGGATTCTTGTTATTTGAAGCAAAATATCAGAATTCCATCATTTAAAACAACTTTTTAAAGTCAACTATTAAAATGTGAAAAGATACATATATTTCAAAAATTTTAAAGAAAAAAAATGCACAGTTCTGTTTACATCTTTCATTTCAGAACGAGAAAAAGATCACAGTTCCTCTCGTCCAAGCAGCCCTCGTCCTCAGAAAGCATCCCCAAATGGTTCCAGTAGCAGTGCTGGGAACAGCAGCAGAAACAGTAGTCAGTCCAGTTCAGATGGTAGCTGTAAGACGTCCGGGGAGATGGTATTTGTCTATGAAAATGCAAAAGAAGGAGCTCGGAACATAAGAACATCAGAACGAGTGACACTAATAGTGGATAATACTAGATTTGTTGTAGACCCATCCATTTTTACTGCACAGCCAAATACAATGTTGGGCAGGTTTGTATTGCAATCTGTGTATTACTAATTATTAAATACTTCACACCCATTAATTTAATTGCCACTTAAGGTTTATAGCAAAATCTTAAACTTTAGTGTTCCTATTTTACAGAAAAAAGAAAGGAGCTTTGGAGGTTACATTACTTGTATAATTAATAGATCGAATCCTTGACTTTGCTTTTATTTCTAACATTCTTGGCAGTATCAGTAGAAATAGTAAAGGCATTAGTTAATGAAGCCAAGATACTGAAAGACATCTACAGGTTGAAACCAGAGATTAAATCTAGCAAGGTGTATTTAGTAGTGATTGTATGATTTTCTGTGCTTGGGTTCTCAAATAAAAAAGGATATTAACAGTGTTAGAGAAAAAAAATTTTTTTTGTTATAAGGTCAGCATAAATTGTTATTTTGATGGCGATACTTAAAAAATAAAGGAGGCAACAGTCATCTAATCTGCTGGCTCCCAGAATTAGATTAATGTAAAGTTTGCAGCCAACAACAACCTTTGGAAGATACTGACAATGTTGACTATTTTTCAGTATTTCAAGACTAGCATCAAATATTTTTTAATTATAAATTCAATCGATGTTTGTTCACTTTAATATAAAGTAAAATGAAATAAAAGCTTACACGAGGTACAAACGTTTTATTTCTAGATGTGAATAACTTGGGGAATGAGAGAAAGAAAATCACCAAGATAGATTTGTCACTGTCTTGCAAGATAGGATAAATTCTGACACTATGTTCATTTCCCTTAGCTACCTGGTTTTACAGTGACACCAGACTTCATATCTATAACACAAAAGTGCTTAAACTCTAGGCTTTTATGTATTTTTAGTAGTGTAGGAGGAAGCCTGGTGATGTAGTGGTTACTTGTTGGGCTGCTAACTGAAAGGTAAGCAGTTTGAAACCACCAGCTGCTCTGTTACTCCCCTAAAGATTAACAGTCTCGGAAACTCACAGAGGCAGTTCTGCCCTGTACGATCATAATCAACTAGATGGCTGTGAGTTATTTGACTTGAGAGGGAAGCCTGTTTGATGAAAGTTGCTAGGAGGATGACTTGACAGTGTTAATAATACCTTATATTTCCCCTAAACTTTAAAGAAAGATGCAATGAAAGTAGATATTAGAAATTCTGCTGCAATTAGTTAGGCGTTGTTTTCTTTAAAACAACAACAGAAATCTATTCATTGTTATGGAACCTTTTGTAAAAAGTTTCAAGTATTTGAGAAAATTACATGATTTTCGATATCTGAAAGACTGTCTTTTTAAATAACCAGTGAAGGCCCCTTTTCTTGGCAGTGGACTATGCCTTATCTTTGGGGATGAAAGCTAATATTCACAGAAACTGTAAAAAGCATCGGCATTCTTTTGGAAACTTTAAAATAAAAAAGTTTTGTTCTTTATGGTTCTAAGATACAACAAAAGAGGGAAGTGATTCAAATTGTGCCATGGTTGACTAGAGTACTTAGATCAGTCATATTACTTGGGGGATAAGGTGTTACTGCATTCAAAGATTCAACTTTTAAAAATAATCACAACTTCAAATTTTCTTAGACGTGCACAGTAAGCTTCATTGTAAAGACATGTTTTGCAAATTGCTTCTTTTCAAAGTTAGGAGCCATTACAGTGCCTTGAAAAAGCAAATCTATTTCTATTTTTCCCGTGTTAAAATTAATATGAAGAAATAAAAATAATATTAAGAATATTAATTTCCTATTTACTTTAAACTTTTCTTCTACCTTTCACTTCTTTATTCAAGTTCTCTACCCAGTACTCCTTTCTACAAGTATTCAGTTGCTTGTTTTTCATTTCTAGGATATAAGCATAAGAATTTTGAGCAAGATTTCTTACATTTATTAAGATTATGAAAAGTGCAAAAACCTAACCACTTTTTCACAGTGTAGTTATATGTACTACATTGTAGTATTCATTTTTATAATGAAGATACGAGTTTTAAGAGAAGGGCACAAATAATGATTATATTTTTTTCCTTCTGACAAGATTAATTAAAATAAAAGTTAATTTTCCCCTAGATTGATTGATTTCCTTCTATTTGAGGAGATAGGAGACTCTTTGGCTTCTGAATTTTATCATTTAATTTAATTATTGCTTATGAAGACTCTGTAGAGAATCTGTATACCATTGTTCTTAGTACACAGGAAATACTTTTAATATTGCTTCATTTGTACTGTTTACTGGAGTGAATTATGCTGAATATTCTTGAATTTATTTAGTGATATAATTTGAAATTGTTTGTTTGTTTTTGAGAAGTACCCTGTGTATGTATTTCTCCATTATTGGCTATCATAGGATGTTTGGTTCGGGCAGAGAACATAACTTCACACGTCCTAATGAGAAAGGAGAATATGAAGTAGCAGAGGGAATTGGCTCTACTGTTTTTCGAGCTATTTTGGTGAGTTACGTTTACATTGATTTAACCCTAAAACCCCCTTCTTGGTAAGTACTTGCAAGCAGAGTTCTACTTGGATATCTCTTGGAGGTACGTGAGATACCATTTTTCTTTAAATACTATTTAATTCATCTTTATTTCAGTCCATAAAGATCATAGAAGAGTTTTATGACATTTGGAAAGATAGGGTAGGGCTTGATTCATTTCGTGGATCTACATATGTAGTAATCTGAGGTCACTTAATAGTCACATTTTTTACCACACCATGCTCCCTCCTTAATTCACATAAGTACAGTAAGTTGATCATTTTTGCTATCTAAGAATAAATGTGTCTACTAGCATTTGAATATTTTATTGCATACAATCAGTAATAGGGAAGCTTACACAATGGATATGTAACAAAAACATCTTTGTTTTGGTTTAGCCTTACACTTTGAGAAGTATTTGAATCACTGTTACAGAGTCTAGGAGCCCTGGTGGTGTCGTGGTCAAGTGCTTGGCTGCTAGCCTAAAGGTCCACCACTCTTGGGAGAAAGCGGTGACAGTCTGCTTCTGCCAACCTTTACAACTTTGGGACTCCTATGGACAGTTTTATCATTTTATTATTACAGAGCTTGTCCTTAGAATTTCAGTTGAATAGCAAAACTTTGATGTGACACACTCTGGAAACGGTTTCTCAGCATTTAAGAGTAAGAAGGGGAGGAGAACCCGAGGCAAAAGACTGAAAGGAAAGGTAGTTGATGTTACTCAGCTGGCTGCCCTTGGGTAAGCATCATCTTGCTCCTGCTGTTGGCAATACTGGAAACTAGTGTTACTATGGCTATGAACCTCGAGAAGCTGGAGAGAAGCTTCCACTTACAAAAGCATATGGGAAAGTGCTCTTACAAGAGCTGACCATACTTCCATTTAGCTCCCTATTGCTTTGACAGTAAGAAAGCATTTTATGACTAAGCTATAGTGTGATTTTATATGTAACTGAGGACAACAACTTTAATTAATTAATTTTTAATCATTTTATTGGGGGCATGTACAACAAACTCTTATCACAATCCATCCATCCATCCATTGTGTCAAGCACATTTGTACATTTGTTGCCATCATCATTCTCAAGACATTTTCTTTCTACTTGAGCCCTTGATATCAGCTTCTCATTTCCCTCTCTCCCTCCCTTACTCTTGATAATTTATCATTTTTTTTCCCATTTCTTGCACTGTCCAATGTCTCCCTTCACCCACTTTTCTGTTGTCCATCCCCCAGGGAAGGGGTTTTATGTAGATTATTGTGATTGGTTTCTCCTTTCTCGCCCCCCAGAAGCTAACAACTTTTAAAGAAGATTTTAGAAATACTTGCTGTTTATTGTTTCAATAATATGAGAAACACCAAGACACTAAGGGAGAATGTGCATGTACACATCTGGTATTGCATAATTTAGTACTGATATATGACTTTTCAGTTCTTTATGAAAAACCTTAATTTTTGTTAAATTCTCTTAATTTTTGAGATAACTTCAAATTATTATCTGACTTATTTTTAAAATATACAGTAGCTGTAAACAGACCTTGAACTATTTACAGCCTTTTTTTGGTCATTGGCTTTTTTGTTTTTTCTGTTTTGTTTACTTTTGTTGCTTTGTTTTGCCCTGTCTTGTTTCTTGTGCATAAAATTATCTCTGCAAGTCTATCTAGATAAGATAGGTAGGATAAACAATCTGGAGGAGAAAATAACAGGACCGATGGTTGGGGGACTGGACGGAGGGGGCGGCAGGGGAAAGGAAGTGGTTGTCAGCAACCCCAGGGACAAGGGAACGATAGTGATCCAAAATTGATGGCGAGGAGTGTGTAGGTGGCCTGGTAGGGCTTGATCAGGGGCAATATAACCAAGAGGAATTACTAAAACCCAAATGAAGGCTGAGCATGATAGTGGGACAAG